CATGAGTTTGCATTGTGCATTTGTAATGGTTCATTGTGTAGTACATGGATTGATGGTGTTAGTGCTACACCCACATAGGCGTGGAGCCAGGATGTAATATAATGGCAGGAAGAAAGTGTGTCTTCCTTTTTGCTGGTTCCTGCTTGCTGTTTGCAGCTGCCATGAACTGCGGCCCAGCCATGCCCACCTGCCTTGGAGCCAACTGAGTGTGGACTGAAACCTCCAAAACCGAAGAAATAAACCTTTCACTTCTCAACTTGGGCTTCAGGTATTTTGTCTCAGAAACAAGTAAAAAATAACTAAGACAGTAGTTAATGCAGGTCTCATGTTAGTTTGGCCTTGGATGTCCTTCAGAAAAGCCTGGCCTCTGAAGATGTAAAAGCTTGGCTGTGGGGGAAGCTAGGATCACTAACATCCTCTGACAATTGCTGGCTATACAGGTAAATGACTACTGTTATGAACTGATGGACTATGATGAGTTTAAATTGGAGTTTTCCTCAATGCTTCCCCACCTTAAGCTGGCTACCCATCCTGGGAGTCAACAAGACAAAAAAAGAGACAGATGTTGGAAAGGGTTGAAGATGAATACATGTGCAGGGCTGTAGTGTGGCCCAGGCATGATTGAATTGAGAATGAGGAGACACCATAAGAAACAAGATAGACCACAGCTGAGGCCACCTGGAGACTTCCTGGATAGTTTTTCTTAATTAGAATCATCTGTTGCTCTGTGGGCTCCTTGAACCTCTCCCAGGGGCCTGCTCAGGTTTTTCCATTGTGCACTGACTTCCTTCCTTGTTCTGATTAAATATGGGCTGCCTAGTGACAGGTGACTGGCTGGTTAGCAGAGTTATGAGTTCTAAAGAAGATTTCACTCTTCCTGTTGCCCTCAAGACAATTCCACTTTTCTGATTCTTTTGGTCCTTTGCTGTGCACTTTTTTGGGGGCTAGATATTTAGGCATAGGCCCCAACAGAAAATTAACTTCCAGATAGGATAACTGTAAGTTTCCTGAAAATTTTGTTGCATGTAAATTTTATTTACCTGTAGATGGAAGTGTTATTATCAACAAATATATTGCTAACTTATCAACATATGCTACCTTATTAACATATTGAGGGGTATTATAGTGATTTCTCAGAAGGCATGATTATACACCTCTTTAGATCATTGTGAGTATTCTGCATAACTTTTCTAAGTCAGTACTTATAAGTGAAATTGGTAGATAATAAAGGAGGCCTCCATCAACTTGCTAAGTACTATGTAACATGAGTCTCGGTGTTTCTAGCAGTTCATTTGTTTTAACCATGAATTTCTCACCAGATGCCAGTTATGCCTGCTTGGCAGACAATGGATTGTACAGGAAATTACGTGGTTTTGATCTCCAAAGAATTGCTGGAGTCAAAGTGAAACAGGTAAAAGCTAAAAAACTGTTAGGGTATTCATAGATTAAAATCTCATTTACATAATTAGTTGAAGAATGAGTTGATGCACTGGAAGTTTATTCAGAACATACAGCTAGGTGAATTATATTAGATATTTATTTCTTTACTTTTTTACAGGTACAAAATACCTGACTTACAGAATTTAATATAAATATATTTTTTATCTCATTGTTTCCATGAGGGAAGTTTGGTTTTGACTGTTTCCAAGCATAAATATCTTGGAAAAAAGTGAAAAGGAAAAGGCAACTTTTTTATGAGGTCAGGGTGCCAGAGAACAGTTTCAGAATCTGAGAGGAAGGATCCAGGGACCAGATTTGGTTCATGGGTTCCAACACACATGGCTGCAGTGTATACATATAGAAGTGATCATAGTAATATCCTACACATTTCTGAAGCCAAAAAGGTGTTAAAAATGGATCACCAGGCTTTAGGAAATATATGACTTCTGGGAATGTTAAAATCCTGAAGAGCTGAGTGCCAATTAGTGACAAGGGAACTATACAGCAAGGGGAACTTAGAGTGTGAAGTCCTTGGGTATCCCTGCCTCCTCAGAAGGAAATGTTTAATTGGATTACGAATTTGGTTCCATTTCAGAAATAATTGTCACCTCCATGCTTGGCAATATGATCACTTTCAGAATTCAGCTTTTTTATGAGTCTGAATGAGTAGCAAGCTTGTCTTGGAGAATTGATGCTTGCTTTTATTTCATCTTTACTCTGTTGCAGACCATCACTATCATTTAAATGTAATGTCTTCACTTTACACAGTAACTGTGTTCCTTTTGTGTTCACATACTGGGTTTCTAGGTGGAAAATTAATAGAAATGTGTGAAAACCATGAAAATGAAGTCTGCTACCTCTAACACAGTCTTCTGACTCTCTGTTCTGTTGTGTTCCGCACTGGCCTGGTCTCAGAATATTTTCTGACATCAGTGGATTTTTTATTCCTGGAGGATTGAACTTGAATCCTGAAAACATTTGCAGCCCATTATGGAAAGAGTCCACTGATCCTTGAAAGAAAGCAGGGGTAGCCATAAAATCGCAGGGATAAATAAGAAATTTAGAGAAGACCTAACACCACCACTTCTTAAAATTTAATGAAATCAAATGGGAAATGGTACTTCTCAATTCATTCCTGCAAGCAAGCATTACCGTGATACCAAAACCAGAGAACAATCCAAATAAGAAAGAGAATTACAGACCATTCTGCCTAGTGAACATTGAAGCAAAAATCCTCAATAAGATACTGGCAAACAGACTGCAGAATATCATCAAGAAGATTTTACACCATGATGAAGTGGAATTATTCCCTGGGACACAGGGGTGGTTCAACATACATAAATCCATACATATAATACACCGTTTTGACAAACCCAAAAGCAAAAATCATTTGATCATTTCAATAGATGCAGAAAAAGATTTTGACAAAGTCCATCGCCTATTCATAATAAAAAACCTACAAAAGTTGGGAGAGATGATCTTTATCTCAATCTGATAAAAGCCTTTTACTACAAACCAACAGTGAACCTCATACTAAGTAGACAAAAACTGAAAGCTTTCACTCTAAAATCAGGAATAAAACAAGGATGTCTACTGTCTCCACTCTTATTCAATAAAGTCCTGGAAACTATCTGGGGCAATTAGACGAGAGAAACAAATAAAAGGAATAAAGATAGGAAAGGAAAATCTTAAACTATCATTATTTGCAGAAGACATGATACTCTACTTAGAAGACCCTAAAAATTCCACCAAAAGACTTCTAGTTTAAGAAGCAAATTCAGTAATATAGCTGGTTACAAAGGCAACACTCAACAATCAATAGACTTCATAAACAAGAATAAAAAACTCATGGAAAGAGAAATCAAGAAAACAATAACTTTTACAATAGCATCCAACAAAATGAAATACTTAGGAATCAATCTAACAAAGGATGTAAATGACCTATACACTGTAAACTACAGTACTCTCAACAAGGAGATTGAAGAAGATATTCTAAAATGAAGAGCTATCCCATAGTCTTGGGTAGGGAAATTCAATATAGTGAAAATGACCATCTTCCAAAGCTATTGTACAGATTCAGTGCAATCCCAATCAAAACCCCGTAGCATATCTCAAAGAATTACATAAAATAAATCCAAAAATTCATCTGGAACCAGAAGAGACCTAGAGTAGCAAAGGTGATCCTGGGCAACAAAGGCAAGATAGGGTTCACCAAATCCCTGACTTGAAATTATACTATAAAGGTATTGTGATTGAAAAAAAAAGATGTGGTACTGACAAAAAACAAAACAAACAAAACCAGACCCAAAGATCAAATGAACAAATTAGAAGATGGAGAAACAACCCCAGACCACTAAACCATCTTATCTTTGACAAAGGTGCCAAACAGAGTCATTGGAAGAAAAGCAGCCTCTTTACTAAATGGTGCTGGAAATCCTGGCTCTATACGTTCTGAATATTATCTTTCAACGTGTATTAAGCTAAGATCAGAATAGATCAAAGATCTTATATTAAAACAGAAACATTAAATCTGCTGCAAGATAGAGTAGGTAAAACTCTTAAAGACATTGATGTAAGCAAAGAATTTATGAAGAAAACTTGGATTGAACAGCAAAAATCAAAGAGAATTAAGAGAGAATCTCACCCTACTGAAAAACTTTTTAATAGCAAGAGAAATCACTAACAGAGTGAAAAGACAACGCACAACGTGGGAGAAAATGTTTGCCAACTGTTCCTCAGACACAGTATTACTATTGAGAGCACGGAAAACTAAAAAATTTTAGTCTTCCCAGATTTAAAGACCCAATCCAAAAATGTGCATCTGAGGTGAAATACACAGTTCTCAGATGAAGAAATAAAAACAGCAAATAAATATGTGATAAAATGTTCTGCATCACTCGTCATTTAACAATTGCAAATTAAATAACACTGATATGTCACCTTACCCCAGAAAAAATGCCTACTGTCAAGAAATCAAGCAATAACGAATGCTGGAGGGGTTGTGGGGGAAAAAGGAACCCTTCTCCTTTGTTGGTGGTAAAGCAAACACTATGGAAATCAGTGTGGAGATTCCACACAAACTAGGTCTACAGGTCCCACTCAACTCAGCTATTCTCCATCTGGGTATCTACCCAAAAGAATAAAAATCATCATACCACAGTGATATATGTGCACCCACGTCTATAGCAGCACAGTTTGTGTTAGCCAGATCTGGGATGGAATGCATAACCTTTAGCTTGCCAGGTGGGCGCTTAACCTAAATACCTAGACCACTTTTTTTTTCCTTTTAACTTTCAAATAAAATGGGTTTGGGAGGAAAAAACAAGGACTGAGGTAAAGACTTTCAGTGCAAATACCCATCAGATGAGCTGAGATCAACATTCCAGAAGACAGCCAGCTCCAGAAGCCTCCACCATCTTTCATTGGGGATCCACAGTTACAGGGTGGGTTTTTTTTCTGTAATTATTCTTGGTGGGGAAGGCAGGCAGGAGAGCAGGAGCCAATCAGTGATGAAGAGGCTGGCTGAAGAACTGTCCAATCAGGCGGGCCAAGGTAGGCGGTCTCTTCCGGTGTCATGGCGTCAATTGCAAGGACAGGGTAAAATGGGAGCACTAGATGTTTGCTAGACCACTATTTTTTGCTTCTATTCGCTGTGGACTGCTTAGAAAGAACCTGGGAGACCTCCAAACTACGCAATGGTGATGTTATGGGATGGGAGCAGTGAAATGGGGTGGAATTTGGTTGAGACCAGTGAGAAGGGCCTGGGGGTTTAGCTCAGTGGCATAAGCGCCTGTCTTGAAAGCAGGCAGTCATGAATTCGATCCGCGGTACCGATAAAAAGGAAAAAGACCAAAAAAAAAAAAAATCAAGTGGTGAGAAGCAGCTGTGCTGCCTAGAGCCTGTGTTCTTAGCCTCAGACCCTGAGGTCCTCTAGTGCTAGCAGTGAGTCATCCTCTGTCACTTTTACCTCTCGCTGGGGCCAGGACTGTTCTGGGTCCCTAGAATGCTGTTCCTACTGTGATACCACCAGGCCACAATGCCATTTTTAAAATTGCCTGGTGCCCTTGCTCCTTCAACAGTCAGCGCCCAGGAAGGGGCATGAGGAGAGCCTGATTCCGATGTGGTTTCAAGCTGGGTGCAGCTGTAATAACCTAGGTCTCTGCTCTTATTCCTGTCAGCAACAGATCTGAAAGCCAGAAGTTTATAAGTGTCTGTGATGCAGGACCTCATAGCCACAACTGCTCTCCTTAAACTTATGCATGTATGTATTTTGTGATCACCTAAATTTATACTATGTTCTCATATTTTCATGCTCATTAAAGGTGGAGGCAAAGGTTCTGAGAATTCAAAGGTGTGTAGTGATGTGCCTCAGTGGAGGAAGGCTTCCCAAACACAGGATGAACTGCTGTGTATTATAAAGAACAATGCAAAGAATTTCTGAACATAATTTATGTGACACATGTGCTCATAGACGATGTTTGGGAGGACAGCCATAGAGGTTTAAATTTTGAGAAAAATGAAGCAGATATAAATGTGTCATCAAGGGCAGGGAAAAGTGTGTTTGCTAAGGACAAATTCCAGAAAGGGCAGCCTGTTAAATTCTCATTGAAAAATGCTGAAATGTAGTCATTTGCATGAACATATAAATACATGATATCCTTCTGAATGGAAAGGAATATGGGTGTTATCTCTGAATTAAGAGCTAATTTAATAGCTTGGTTGATCATATACCAAAATGGAAAAGCTCTGCAATGGACTTTACTAAGTGGTTAAAGTAGATGCCATAAATTAAAATTGTGCAGGGATATCAGTAGTTTAGTCATGAAGGGTTTTCTGCTTAGGGTGGATCAGACGAGCATGGAAAGGATGTGGAAGTGTCTGGCAGGACTCAGTGTGCCAATAGCAGGATATACAACAGAGAGGGTCTTCCCTGAAAGTCAGGTAGTTCTTAGGGTAAGCATGAAGATAAAGTTGGCTTATGATTTCTTCCTTGAGGTGAAAAACACCAGCTGTTGTAAGAATCAGTATTCCACATCCTTGTCAACCCATGAATTCTGTGATCTTCACTTGAGATCTAATTTTGATTATCTCTAATTATGACCCAGTGTCATGAAGGTGAAATTTGAATTTTTTTTTGTAACAGGGATCGAACTCATGATCTCAAGCTTGCTAGGTAGGTGTTCATGCTGCTGAGCTAAATACCCAGCTTTGAAATTGTATACTGTTTACTATATATGATATCAACATTGTTCCTCAGAAAATGTTGAATATTGTGGAATTTTTCTATATTGTATGGATATAATTTTTAAATCAAACCAAAGGTGTCATATGCAGTCATTTTTCAAGTTTCACATTGTCTGTGGGGTGTCTCAGTCAGGGTTTCTATATTTGAGACAGCTCTGTAAATTAGGCTAGCCCCAAACTCAAGGAAGTTATCCTGCATCAGCCTCCCAAGAAATATTTCTTATATCTGAATGGAGAGTGATCACTTGGTGACACTGAGCAATAATTTGAAGCTTATACCTGGTTTCATTTTTTGTATATTTTTTACATATAGCAGTTTTCCATGAACATTTGAGTTATTATTTATGTATCATATTTGATGTTATTTATGTTTTGTTCTATGAAACCAAATTTAAATATCAAAATGCTTCTTAAGTATATTAAGAACAAAGAACTCAGTGGCCTAAATGAGATTTGAAGAGATATCATTGTTAGTACATCAAAGTGATTCATGAGATATTTGTCCACCTCTGTGCTTTATGGATGCTGGTCCTGCAGGCTTTCAGTATGAGCTCTGCTTTAGAGACAGTGCACAGGGACTCTTGCAGTGACTCAGCATAAGAATCAGTGCTCCTATTTGGCTGTTACATTAGCTGTGAGTTGCAATAGAGCATTAAATTTGCTGTCTCAAAAAATGTGTATATACCAAAAATTAATCCCCAAGATGTGGAATTAAGGTTTGAAGAAATCAGTCTCCATTCAGCTGTTTTGTTTGCTTTTATTTTTTAGTTTAGTTTTGTTTTATTGAGACAAGTTTTCTCTATGTATATCAGCTAGTTTTGAACCCTTTGTGGAGTGCAGAATTGCCCTAACCGCAAAGCAACACTCCTATCTCAGCGTCTTAAGTGTGGGATTATAGATATGTGTGTTTTTACCCCAGAAAATATTGAGGCTTGTAAGTTAGCTGTGTTGTAGCTTGGCATAATAGATGCCATCTTGAGCTTTGCATTTAACTAGTGCCCTGTATTTCACTCAGAAAAATGGAAAATCACACAGGGTATAAGTCCCAGGAGAAAAGCAAAATGAGCTGTACCCAAAGAAAAAAATTAACCTGCTCAACAAAAGAGCAGAATATAGTTGTCATCAAAAATTATTATAAGATTCTAGGTAAATGATTTCCAACAGGATATTTTTGTGATTTTATCTTTTAAAACATCTGTAACTTTCTAGTTCAGAGCATCTTCTTTAGATACTGAAATGGGGGTAGGCGTTCTGTATACAAGTGTTCCTGAGACCTGCTAATGAAATTCCACATTTCTCAATTGGGTTGCTTGGTTTCCTATATTATTGTTCGGAAACTCACCTCAAGCTGCAGAAACCTTACTGATACAAGCAAACCTCAGGATTAAATGACAGTGCCCCTGAAATGAAAGAATAGTTGTGAAAAGGAGAGGAGAAAAAAGACAAATGCCATGTGTTACAATGCCCAGCTCTTTTCCCCAGCAATGAAGAGGCTGAAACAGGAGAATTGCCATGTATTCAAAGACAGCCTAACCTACATAGTGAGTGCAAGGCTGGCCAGAACTCCTAAGTGAGACTATGTCTTTAAATCAAAAAACTAAAATGAAAAAAATAAACAACCAAGGAGACAGAAAGACTATTTAAAAAAATAATAGAGCTGAGTGAAAGTAGAATTATGCAAAATAGGAATTATTGCATGATGCTGCAGTGGAAGGAAGGCTATGTAGTGGCATCCAGGAGGCAGTGACAAACACAGACTTAGGAATGGCACCTATTGTGCTACAGGACAACAGTGACCTCCTTCCTCCAATACATTTGCAGTTCACTAGACTGAGGACTTCTAAAAGCTCATGGAAATGTGAAACTCATGGCAAACAAGCAGCTTGAAATTCAGGCTTTGGAACATGACCTGTAGCAGACATTTCATATTTAAATTGAAATAAGAGAAATATAATGCTTCCCTGTTTGCTGTCAACTGCACAACATTGAGAAATGAAGTCAAAAAATGAAGTTCAAAAATTTTCTTAGAAAAAAAGAGACAAGAATAGCCCTGAATTTTCAGGAGTGGTCTTCGGTGTTTTGGCCACAGACCTATTGTCTGGGGTCATTTATACAGGAAAGTCACAATTTGGGTTCAGTGTGGGTCTCAGACTACAATCAACCTATAAGCTTATAGCTGCTTAAAAATATTATTCATCAGGGGAACAAATCAGCCAGAAAAGGTATGTGGAAAGAGCCAAGGCATTTTGTGGGAACAATAGTCCAGTTGATCTGGTCATTGAGTATGGTAATTAATGCCCATCTAAACTTCCTGGAGGAGGTGATGGTAACTTTAGTACATTTCAAGCTGTTGTTTTTCTCTTCAGGAGCATGTAGACATGGTCACTGCATCTTCACCTTCAGGTCTGGGTTTTTTCAGCTTTTCCTGTAGCAGTGATTGTTGTATAATTTTTTGCATTGACTATTTGTGGTTCCAGTTCCTCTCTGATTGTATAACAATTTCTGTCTACATTGACATCCTTTGCTAAAAATCACAGTACTATTTGAATGAATAAAGTGAAATATTCATTAATACTGGCCAGGGATTTAGCTCAGGAGGCAGAAACACGTGCCTGGAAAGTGCTAGGTTGTAACATTGATTCCTGATACCTAAAAAAATAAGTAATTTAAACCACAAGGAAAGAAAATAATTTCATTTGTGAAAATGTAGGTTTACAACATTTATAACTAAATATGTCAATGGCAAATTAAACACTGTTAATAGTCATATTTAGTATCTAAAATTGTTGGGGCTAGGGAATGAGCTCAGTGATACAAGGAGCTGCCTGGAGAGCACAAGGTCATGAGTTGAATCCCTCATACGGAAAAAAAAATCACAGTTGTTAACGATGCAGTCCTATGAGTACATTTATTGAAACTGATACTTGGTATTTAATAGCTCAATGTTTCTTTTGTGGTCTATGAAATACCTGCAGATAGCATGGCAATTACAGTGAATGATATACTGTCCCCTGTGGGATTTCTATTTTCTGAGTTGTTTTCATTTTTGTTTTCCCACATACTTGAAAGTTGAAAATGTTGGCTGGTGCTAGGTAGAAAAACTGTGATAATCATTTTTTCAATTTAATGATATATTTCCCTATATTCATTAAGAACATTTTATTTCCTACAGTTACTCAAAGTCAAATTGATAAACAATTCTTAAATTTACAGGCAGCTGAGTTAGTTAGAAATAGAGGCAACCATACCATGATATAGTGGAATGAAATTCCTGACCTTCTATATCTGGTATGAGTTTGCAAGAATGAATTTTAGGAACAACAGTTGAAGAGCAGAATATATTTATTGAGAGAAAGAAAGTGAAAGTATTTTGCTCTAAATAGGATATTTTGGAAGTGGAGGTGGGACCAGGGGACTTTTACCTTGAAGTCATTTTCCTCTCCCCTATTCAACCTACCTGTGGCCAGAAAAGTATCTCAATCAACTTGTTGCATATCAGCAATGCCACCTTTAAGCCCCACCCAAGTAAAAAAATCTATATGTGTGCTGCCCACACATTTCCAGAAAAAAAAGCCAGAACCCCAGTGGTCACGGGGTTGTCTCCATGGTCTTAGAATAAAGGCCATTTTGACTTTATATTCTCTTCTTTACTACACCAAAAATCCTATCAGAAAGCTTTTGTCTGAGAGAAACAGGAGGGATTCAGAGCCAGTAGCAAAGGACTCTGATTTATAGAATAAAATCATGTGGTGTGTGTGATAGCTTGGACCCCAGCATAAAACCCAATGAAGCAAGAAATTAAAATTTCGGGAGCAAAGGCTTTATATTAGGCCAGGCCAGGTGATGCCGTCTCAGGGAGCCAATTTGGAGACTGTGTGCCTTACAGCTAAAAAGGTTGGGTTATAAAGCTGAAAACCACAGGAATGTTGTGAACTTTGACCCAGTTTGATAACTTTCTTGTAGTTAAACATTTCTTAGGGACAGTACATTGTACTGCAGATAGGCTGAAGGGGGGGA